GTAGTAGTAGTAGTAGTAGTAGTAGTAGTAGAGTAGTAGTAGTAGTAGAGTAGAGAGAGAGAGAGTAGAGAGAGAGAGAGAGAGAGAGAGAGAGAGAGAGGGAGAGAGACCTTGTGTCGTGGTGAAGCGTGTTTCTAGAGAGAGAGAGAGATGTGTGTTAGTGAAGCCTTTAACAGCTCCATTTTGTCGTTGATCACAATGCAAACCCCTTCAAATATTTTATGGATTTCGCCAACATCATCACGTAATCCTTTCGCCCCCATTTCGGACCATCTCCGGTGCCCGTGCCAACACGCCACGTGCTGGTGTGACCCGCTACGCCACCCAGACCAATCATATCCGGCCACGTCACTAAACTGTCCACGTCAGAAACTCGGTCCCACCCCACTTGACAAAGTTGAGCCTGCGGGACCACGTCATAAAATGATATGGGATTAATTGAGCATTCTTTAAATTAAGAAATGGGAAAAATTGATGGGGTTCGTTTTTAGAGGTGCTAGCTACCCAACACCCTTACAAATTTTGGCTTAGTTAGCGGGTTTCTCTCTTGCTGTTCAATTCTAGGGTTCCAACAATTCCCCTTTATTTCTCTTTTTGTGTTGTTTTCTTGTGATGTATTCACGTGTGGTGCTTTCCACAATAAAATACAAGGATTTCATCCCCTAATCTAGAGATTTTCTACTTGTTTCCTCGTGTGGTGGGCTCTACCAAAGTTACTAGTACTATACAACGTAGTTATCATGATGGGACTAAAAAATGGGTCCAATAGCCATTAGGTACAGATTAGTTTTTGATCAGCCCGGTCTAAAGTAGAAATTGAGTTTGGTTATAAAGTTGTTAAGCCAATGTTGATCGGTTCGATTTATCGGGATGATTAAATGAAATTGTACGTTTTTGTGAAATGTATTTTCTTTTTTTATTTATTATTTTTACTAGTTTATTTTTTAAAAAATATGATTCAACTGTTGATCAAACTATCAATGTGTCAATGGACCCGATCCTTCTCAAATTTAGCTCAGGTCGGGTCACGTTTAGGCCATTTGGATATGGACAAGCTGACATCTAGACCAACCCATCGGGTCGGGTTAGATCTCACGTGTAAAAAATGGTTTATTCATTAAACTTGATATATTTTTAAATATACATTTATATGCATTATATTTATAAATACAGGGTCAAGTCAACACGACGTGAACCCTATCAGATCCGATACGGTCTAAACTGGACTAGGACCCAAGCCCGACTTAGGTTGAGTCTAGGTCAAATGGACCCGAACCCAAACCCAACCTGTTGGGTGTAGAATTCAAGTTTACACCTAGACCTACATCGGATCGACCTGCCAAGGTTTCCCACCCCTATACCAGTTGGACCAGCTATTTTCCAAACATTTGCTTAGGTCAAACCAGATGTCAACATTGATGATTTTGAGCCGAAAGACCCAATATAGCTCGGGTTCTTCAGTTTTATAAATTTTCTCATTAAAAACTTCTTGATCTGATTCAGAATAGCCTGAATAGGTTTGGTAAAAATTGAGATCGGGCTTGTGGTGAGATAAAACCCAATCCAGTGTTTTTCAGTACTTGTATAAAGCTTCTAAATCATGAAAGATCATCAATGAGAGAGAATGTGAACTTCATGAAACGGTAATGGTATGTTATTGCACAAAATTATTGAAAAAAATTAAACAGGTTTTTTAAAAAAAAATAATCAAAATACAAGAAAAAAAAATAGTTGGGGTAAGACCCCAATGATGTTCATGATACAAGAAAAAGGAAAATAATTAGCATTATAGAGGTCTTTATGATATTCTTTTTTGAAAAAAAAAAGAAGAAAAGTTAGGAAAGGCCCGGATGATCAGCACAAAAAAAAAAAGCATTATCATAAATTTTTTTGAAAATTTATTCTCCTTACTCATAGTTTGAAATAGAAACTCAAATCCGTTACAACAACATTGGCACCATGTAACATCCGTTATTTTTAATAGAACGTTGTTATTCATATGTTGTAGTGGTGGCAACCGCCATTGGCACAACTAGCAGAGCTAAAAAGGATAGCGGACGTATTACCTGCAACAGAATGATACTTGTACCGACAAGTGCTTTTACTTTTTAAAAATATTCTGATTTTTGAAAAGGACACAAGATTTGTATGAACTTTAAGTTGCTCCCTTGATATTTTTCTAATGACTTTTTTGCATTTTAATGAGAGGTTTTTAATTAGATCTTGACCATTGGGATTTTCCTAGTCAACTTTTCTTAAGAAAAATCTCAAAAGTTCATGGGAAATCGATTTCTCACATAACGAAAAACATAGGGCATGGTATAAATCAATTTTTGTTTGGAAATAAGTGAAAATAAGGGTTTGATCAATTTTGGCATATCGGACCGTAAGGTTTTCATTTTTTCGACTAGATAAAAAAAGTTGAGAAACTTATTCCTATTATATGTCATATTTTTGCATTATTATTATCATTATTCTTTCATTTTAAAAATCTTGGCCAAAGTGGTTAGATTGCTAGTCAAATAGGTTATAATTGGATAATACCGCTCATTGCTTAGAAAGAGGCGACTGGTTGGTTGGGTAGAGATGGAGAGTGATGAAATGAAAAGAGAAAGAAGAGTTTTAATGCGAAAGGGGCAAGGGTCGTACTGGTAGCATCCCACATCCTAGTTACTAGGTTGTGGTTTCCATTCCCACCATATGCACCACCACTTTAATGCATTAAAAAAGCGAACTCATAATCTACTAGAAAAACTGGGTAGGGGCTGTCTTCCATGTTGAACTACCAAAAAAAAAAAACAAAAGGAGCGGTTCAATGTGTTTTAGGTTTGGGGTTGTTTAATGGACATAAGTTAAAGGTGAGAATAGTACAAAGAATAGGGTGAGAAAATAGTAAAAAAGTGAGGGTTTAGTGTCTTTTTATTAAAAGTTGGGGGTTTCCATAGGTTTTTTTGAAGAGTGTAGGAGGGGTGAAAGTGCCCCAAAGGAGGGGGGTGAGAGTTATTTTCCCAATAAAAAAATTAATTCAATAAATATGCAAAATACCCTTACAAATTTTATAGGTGTTTTGGTCACATATTTATGTGTGTGTACGCATGTGGGTGCAGTTTGTACAAGGTTGGGGCCTTAAACAATAAAAGTAGGGCACACCTCCAAATTGTGCCAAAAGATGCCGTATATACTAGAAATCTCTATGATGGCTTCAAAATTTATTTTCATTTCTAACTATAAAATTTAAAGCTTCAAAAAGTGTAAGTCAAACAAATATATGAATACTTGAAATCTTAAAAATAAACAATCCACATAATACATTACAAGATGTACTATTTTCAAAAAGTCTTTTTTTTTCCACATCTATATATCTCAAGATGAAGATGTTTAATTGGAAGGTTTTCCACATCCGAACAACCTTTTCAATGAGGTTTTGATGTGCACCATATTTCTATAGCACAACGTTGACACTAATCAAGTAAATGGGCTTGGGAGTTGACCCTTAAAAGAGGACCATGCACCTTTTTTTGTTGTGCTACACTAAATAGTCATATCAAGGAGGAGTTGTGCAGCATGTTTCCATTGAAGCATGATATATATTGACTCCCTCTAGTGAAAGAACTGCTTAAGAGGAATTTTATTTTAAATCTAAAATTTTGGCATCTTCCTCCAAGAATATTTTCAAAATAGAAAAAATGAATTTTCAATACTTAAAACCAATGTTTTAAAAATCACCGAGTCGGTACGGAATCGGTCGATTCGAATCGAAAATCGGTCATCCCGTGTCGCTTCTTTTGTAAAGCTGGGAATCACCCTGTTCTAGAAAATAGCCGACGATTCTGCACAGTAAATCGCCTGGTTCGCACAATAACTCACCCGGTTCTTCGAGTCATGACGTCGCCCAGTTCTTCGAGTCATGACGTCGGTTCTTCGTGTCATGATGTCAAGACCCACAATCAAGGGCATTTTTGTAAAAATTTTCTTAAAATTTAGAGAATTTTGAGGCAAAAGGGCCCCCCCTGAAAGAAATACCTATGTAATCTTATGTCGGGGAAATACAATTTTTTTTTTGTAATAATAATAATCACCCCTTATAATTTCGACAACAACATCACTCACTAGTGGTCTTATTACAAAAAATAGAAATTCCAAAAATTAATAACACATAAATAAAATAAATCTCAACTACTTGATGCCATTCATACAACCTAATACTGTACTTGAGAATATAAAATAAAAGAACAAACAATTAAAAGAAAAGATGCTGGAGATTACCTCAACAGGGCTTTTTATACCCCACATCGAGTCACCACATCCAATGGCACAGAATCAACAGTCCAGCTTCAATCTCGAACAGGGAAAGCTAATTTTGGCCAAACTAGGTAACCACCCTTAAATCTCTACAAAACCCTAACTCCAAAATAATTAGGCTCAAACCCTAAATTTCTCAACCCTTAGATTAGACTATGAAAGATAGATAGATAGAGAGAGAGAGAGATTCTATGTTGGGGCGTACCCCTTAGGGTCTTTTTTAGGAGAGAGAGAGAGAGTAGAGAGAGAAATAAGAGAGTAGACAGAGGGGCGTGGCCCGTTAGAGAAGAGAGAGAGAGAGTAGTTATGGGAGAGAGAGAGGTGTGTGTTGAGATGGGAGGAAAGCATCCCTATTTATAGTGAAATTTAGGTCTAGGGATTCTTTAGGGTTTTTCATAGTTTGTCTCTTTCTTGAGATTGAATATGGACCGTTGATCAAAATGACTTGTGGGGTGAGAGATCTGAGCCATCCATTGCATAGATGTGCCATCAACATTGTAGAAGGTGCATAAACCATTATCATCCTTTCCTTAAAGCAT